TCAAAGTTTTCTTTGTATATTATGATTACTTATTCAACAGCCATCTTGAGGAATAAAGGCGAATACGTAGGTGTTACTTCAGCAAATGTTTGGTAGAATGAAATCCAATTTAAAACCAAATTATCTATGATTTGTGTGAGCTACATATTTATACATCATTGTAGCAAAAATGCATTTGTCACTGTCATAAAGTTCTTTAAAACATAAGCTTTTTGTTTTCCGTAACGTGTTTTGCAATGGACACATATTAATCAATTTGAAAGCTTATTTTCAATACAGTTTTCGTCAAAACAAATCACTACAAAACGTATTGAATTTTGTCGCATTCTCTTCATTTTTCATGGACACCAGACGTCTCATAAACTTGATTCATGTAAACGATAGCTGATATGAAGTCTCATGAACTATATTTTGAATTTGTTGGGGTAGTCACATTATTAAAATAGCATTTTCAGTTATATTCTCACTCATCGAAACTTAAGTCACTGATAAAATATTTTGTATCTGGCTATCCTTTTGCTTAGAAATGGCTAATTGCAATATTCCGTGATCATAAATCTTCAACGCATGTGATACCTCACTTTGATCTGTTTACCGTATCGTGTCCACTTCTCAGTCACGTGAACCTCATTACAAAAGCACGTTCGTGCACAAATAATAGATTTTTGTCCTTGAGCAGAACCATTATAATTAATTTTTGTCGCAGTGTTTTTGTGTGTATGAATAAAATGTGCAAATATACCCTCCATCTGTGTCATATATACAAAATACAAACTATTATCTAGTGCAGGGTTGTCCAACTTAGACTCGCGGGCCGCATTTACGACCAGTGCCATTTATTGCGGCCCGCGAAAGGTTATTAGTCAAAAGTGAAAGTTCCTTGCATCCATGTCCAATGGGAATATCGCGCCTAGCGTACGCGCTCTGTCGTGGCCAACATCCCTTAATGTAAAAATAGGTTAAGTGTAGATTTAATATTTTTTTGTAGTAAATTCAGAAATTCAAAATCATCGCAAGGTGTTTCCCTGCGTTACGCAAGGTTGGCTTGATATCACGCATGATTCCACCCCTCTCGGTTTTTAAAGCACCCGGGCTATCTGCCGAGATCAACAATACGTGGTTGTCAGATGTGGATCGCCTAAGTTAATCTAAATATGGCCCGTAACCATATTGAAGGTTTTAGTTGTGGCCCTTGAGGCTTGCAAGTTGGACTCCCGTGATCTAGTTCATGAGTTAACATTACGGATTCGACTAAGTAGATACAAAATTATTCTAAAATATTAAATTGAGAAATGTAACTAGCCTTACCTAACAAGAAATTGCTTGACAATTCACTTATACAAGCGAAATTTTGCTTCTAAAACCCAAAGCCAGCTTCCGCGTTCTGCTGTTGCAAGTGCTTTTCCTGCGTCCCGGAAGAAGTGTATACGTCTGTTTCCGGAATTTCCTCCAACGTTTGCTCGAGATAAAATTTATGGCTAGTGCTGGCAAGTTTGTGCAAATTTGTGCAGTGCAGCTCTGGCGAAATCGTCGTACATGATATAAGCAAGCATATAAAATGCTTGGAACCATGAAAAAATAGATCAATCTCCAATGTTTCATGGTTAATGATGAAATAACTATTTAAAATATAGTTCGAAAGAGTTTAATGAACATTAAAATACGATGCTTGGAGAGAGTACACATTAAAACTATATTACTTAGTATTTCATATCAGAAACCGTCAAACTGTCAAATTTTCGGTAGTTGGCACTATCATGTTCAGTTTGGGTAACATGGAGAGGGTACAAAGTTCATTCGACCCACAAAAATAGTTGCTTGCTTACTCCTGACTGTCATTGTTATGACCAAGTGTAGTTTTAGTTATAATTTATTTTTGTACACATAACACTTAAGTGTGTGGAATTCATTTTTCAATATTGTAAGGAACTACGCCTCTGTGATCCTCAGCCAGATTTTGAGCGTCATGCTATGCACAAGCAGCGGCGGAAACTGTCCACCGACTTACCTGATTAGCCGATCTCCAGCAGCAGTCGAAGAATTTTAGTTGTGTTACCTCCCGGGAGAACTAGGAGAATTCTATAGGGGTAGGCCACATGTGGGTTAAATTGGCAGGACTTCGTTTAGGGTGAGATGTGCTTTTTGGCTATTGATTAATGAAAAACATGTTTTCGAGCACCGTGGTTCCAGATGGGACCCCACTTTATTGGTTACTGAAAAAAAACTATTGTAACAGTATTCTAATGTAAATGATACTCTCAAAATTTACAAATTAACAAATCGTTTGGTCATGCATTAAATCTTCTTCTTCTCTCTTGGCATGATATCACAGTTATTTTCACTAATGTTTAGTTTCTTTCAAATTCTCTCTTTAACAATTATCTTCTCTCAGTTTTCTGATGCAATAAACAGGCACTGAGGAACCGTTCATAAATTACGTAACCCAAGTTTGGAGTATTCTCCATTGTCCCTCCCCCTCCTGTAACCCAACTGTAACGCTTGAAACCCCCTCCAATAATTATGTAACGCCTGAGACAAGCCCCCACCACATTTAAAATAAGTAATTTCAATTATAAAGCCGAAACGTAAAATAATGCAAAATGTATTTGAATATTTCAAAGCACAATTTTACCAAATCGACTGTTATACATGTATTTCGACCAAGTTGAGACTGATGGTTACAGGAGTGCGCCACTCTTTGTTTACACACGAAACGGTAGAGATGGAGATGTAAGGATACTCAATTCAAATTAAAAATGGGACCGTGACAAACTGTTACCGAAAAAAGCACAATTTTGTCGCAAATCTAGTCTTACCAATGTATATTTTAACTGTATTTGGACATGTCTGCAACTCGTGTTGGAATAAAACATACTTTTCGCTGCAAAATGAATCAAATTGTAGATCGGATTCCTTCAATGAGCAGAAAATGTGTACTGCAAAATTCGCAAAAATCGTTTAATTTAACTTAATTAGATTCACAGAATATGTACCAAATGAAATTATATTTTATACTAGAAGCAACTACCATCTTAATGAAGAAAATTGTAGTCTTATGACAGTGGTTTAGCTACTTTATTGCGTACCTAACAAATGGCTTCAAGTCTGCTTAAAAAAAGAAGAATACCAATGTTTAAATACGACGAAAAAATAATAAATATTCGATATAAAAATAGTTTTTATTATATTCTTGTAATAGAAATGTAGAAAGTAAATAAAAATTAGGATAAGATTAACGTAGGGGCAAAACGGAACAAGAGGGCAAACGGATAAGGGGGCCAATGAGACACGTGGGTCCAATGAAACATAGGAGACAATGGACGAAATGGAACAAAAAGGACAAGAGCAAGTGGGATAAAAGGAACATATTTATCCAAATATTTATGATCAGTGGTAAAATATAAACTGGAGAGTCCGCTAAAATATTTTTTTCTGGACTCTATCATATTAAGGGCGTTGCTATGGTATGGTTCGCTCTTAAAGCGTTGAATAGTTGTTTACTAAGTAGCTAAGCGCATGTTTGTCGACGTAATTTACACAAAAAAACTGTTCATAATGGCCGTGTAGACGACACCTTTAAAAACTTTTTAGTTTAACACGTGGTAGAACCGCACATGGACGTCCAACGGTGACAGTCGAGAGGTTGTGTGTGTGTGTGTGTGCGCGCGTGTGCGTGTGCGTGCGCGCGCGCGTGTGCGTGCATGTGTGAGGGAAGGTAGGCAGCGCGCGATGGGAGCGTGACGCCCTGGTCACGTTATGAAGACAATTGCGCAGCGATCAATACGCGTACGTGCCACATCGACCATAACGTTCACGCGTTCTTCACCCGGCTTTGCCTATAATTTCTAATCTCCAGATCATGCACGGTCTGGATTTCTAGTTTCAAACGTAGCTTAAAGCCAGGAAACAGACAGGAAACATAAACCTTCCAGGTATATTAACATGAAATAATAGAAAGAAATAGTTGTTTATCCTCAATTTTGATTTTAAGACTTGCAGACTACGTTTACAATGTTACATTTTTACTTAATTTTATATTAGTCACGATTATATTTCATCATCATTTTGTATCATTTCATATCATTTTGTAATAACCGGAAGTATGAACCAATGGTTACATTTCAATTTTCTAAAAAAGAATTGAAATTACTTCTGATAGAAGTATTTCAGAATTAAAATACATTGGTAAAGACGTACATTAAAATAATATTAGTAAGGTATAATCAATATTTCTGTAATATCGTAAGGTACATTACACCTGATAATGACGAAAAATTACAGAAAAAATTCATAACTACTTCTTTTTAATATTGGTGAAACTGTTTTTTCCAACGATTGTTTGTTTTGTTTATATTTTGATTTTATGAATTTGTTCCGTTTCTGTCTTGTCCCTCTTTTTTGAAGTGAAAGTAGTGATAAAAATGTGAAATAAAATATAATAAATCTAAGTCAAAAATGATAGCACCAATATTTGAAAATGGGAGAAGATACTTAAGAGGAAGAAGAAAAATAAAGAAGGGGACTTAGAAAAAGAACAAATCGCAACAGCGTGTGATTAACTTCAAAACCATTTTCCTAACTTTCTGAATGTCTTCTGTAAGCTGAAACATATATCCAGTTCAGTTTTAGATACAAGTGTGATTCTTTTTTGTTATAAAGTAGATACATAATAAATTTAGTGCATGAATCAGAATCACACATTTTGACAAATTGTTTCTTGACGAAAATTGGTTTTTCAGCCACATCAAAAAATATTTTTTAACAGTTAGAAAAAATTGAAAATAAATAAACACGCATGATGCAATTAATGTCTTAGTTCAAGCACTAGTACTATTAATATTTGTACATTAGAAAATAATTGAAGCAGTATAGCTAATAGTCCCGAAGTAATAATGTCACAACTAAGGTTTCACTTTCTTCTTGATATTTTTGTATTGGTTGTTGGATTATCGTTTCAGTGGGTATATGAAAAAAAATGTTATAAAACAATATATAAAAAGTGTTAATCTTCGGCGTTTAATAAAATATGCGCAATATTTTTTCGACATATTTCGTTGATTAGAATACACAAACTGTATAATTGAAGCTGTGGTAACAAGTAACTTTCTCCCAATAACAAACAATTTTCAATATCACACATCTTTAATTGAGAAATACTAACATACAGTTCCTGCATTATTGAATAGCCACTTTGACATAGTTAACAACTCATGTTGACAACTATGAAGTAGCTCTTAGTAATTTAAATAATTTTTATACCATACGTATTTAGAGATTACTGGTGTTTTAATTTGTATTATTCCAGTAATATAAAGACGTGAAATATTTTATTTGCTGATAAGTTGTAAACTCAACTTTCTACATTATATGATTATTTACATTTCACTTTAGCCCTTAAGGCCAGTTTTTCGTTGATTCCAGATTACAAATGAAAACAGTTACGACAGCGATGGCAATTAGAAATACTGCGACTAGAGACAGGTACGACGTATCACCTAGGACAAACAAAATGAATTTTATTAGATATAAATTATTGAAAATGAGGTGTCAATTTAGTTTTAGCCTAGTTTAGATAATTGGAGGTAAAAGAACAAGGAAAAAATAAATGATATCCAAACGTATTTAAGGGCAAACTCGTTTTTGATATTTGAAACTTTAACATGAAATTTTAGGGTTTAGTTGTAGTAAAAGCGAAATTTTATTTGGGTAACGTTTATTGTATTTCCTTAGTCCACTTTACTTATATTACGAAACAAAATATGTCATTTTTCAAATCAACTGCAGTAACCTCTGAGGGGTGGACTGGAGGAAACTATTGCTTACGTATTTTTTCTTCTAAATGTAATTTAAAACTAGAATAATTGCTTTGGATTGTGATAATGTATAATTTTTGAGGTGATAGCTATGAGAAATTTTCTTAGATTGAGTTCGAAACATGCGCTTTTAAGCATCGAGAAAACTATTGAATACGCTCTGAAGAGTATCTCACATCTCTTCCTTCTGTCTAGTGTTAATTGCCCATAAATCTCAATCCCCGGCAACCAGAAGAGGATACGTCTGTACATTCTCGCTCTTACTTCGTAAGAAGTGTAATTGTGCTCCGGAAAAGGGCAATTTTCCAACAGAAAAATTCTTACCGAGTCCTGATACCAAAAGATCCATAAAACTTATTTCTCAATTACTCTCTCTAACACGTTGTGTAGTCAGAATCCATGTTTTGTGGGTTGTGTGTACCGAAAAATCGATTGACGGCAAAACGCTCGCCCGTCCATCTCTGTGTGGTTAAAGCTAGTACCAACGTTCTCCAAAATTGACATTCCTCAGTCGACTTAAACGAACTCAGTCATATATAATTTTGAAATGGATATTTTGATTTTGGGGGAATAATTTAGGGGATATTTTGATTTTACATGAAGCTTCAAAACGTTTCAATTTTTTCTCAAAATAACTGAATTTGTTTACTATATTTAAACAATGGATAGTTTAAATGACAATTAAGACAATGGTTCCTCGAGAGGTTTCGTTTTGGATGAAATCCCTAATTTTTCGATAATTACAAAAGTTCAATTTTTTTCGGCGTCATCCCACAACTACAAGATTAAAGATAGAGATTATTTCTTAAATACATCTTGTATGAAAGCCGTGTTCAATTTTTCGAAAATATGTTTTCATGTAAATTTGCGCTACATATTTGTATAAATTTTAAACATTTTTTTTCTCGAAGAACGGGTTCAGTTCTTTTTCTTTAAATTTTATTTTTGTATTACCAATGGTTGGTATAAACATTGATGTGATGCTATTGTCATTCCCAGAGATATGCTGTATATATATATATATATATATATATATATATATAATATTCATTAAACAAAAAAGTGTTTCAAAACATCCATTCTTCAAAAAAGGGTAATGTAGTAGATACTTTCTCTCGAAATTAATTGGTAACGGATGAGATGCAAAATTTATGTTGCCGTATTGCGGCAAACTCGATAGTAGAACCGAACAAATCGTACTATTATCGATCGTTCTCGGCTTGGCTTACTTTCGTAGTCTCAGAGCGGGTACGAACAGACCGGTTTCGAGCGAACGGCCTGAATAACAGCCCCGCCAGCGGCCTGAAAGACAGCCTTACCGTGCAGCAGTCGTTTCCGGAAGGAGGCGTAGCCGACGCGGTCGTCCCTCTCGCGCAGCCAGCGGGCGTCGTCGGCGCGGGCGTAGGCGCGCTCCATGCTGGCCATGAGGGCGCGGTTGAGGCGGCGGCGCAGTGGCGCGACGCGCGGCGCCCAGCGCAGCGCCCACGCCAGCAGGCGGCGCTGCACGCGCCCGCGCGCGCCCAGCCTCCGCAGCAGGTGCGCCGGCGGCGCCGCGCCCGCGGCCTCCAGCACATGCGCCAGCGACACCTTGCAGGGCAGGGCGACTGTTGTTACTGGTGGAGGGACGTCGGAGGAGAGGACGTTTTGTGGGGTCGGGCGCCGGTAAACGGCGAATTTTCGGTGGGAACGTGATATCGATACCGAACGTGATACCGAGTCCGTGATACCGAAAAATCGATTGACGGCGAATCGTCTATCGATTTTTCGGTATCAAGGATCTCCAGCACGTGCGCCAGCGACACCTCGCAACGCGCCGGGTAGGGCGACTGTTGTTGTTGGCGAAGGGACTTCGGAGGAAGAGGACGTTTTGTGGGGTCGTGCGACGGTAAATGGCGAATTTTCGGCAGCAAAACTTATTGCCAGGTTTTGGTAACGAAAAAATGGAGAAATACACTTGACATGCAGTAAATTGCTTCCTCTAACATGTTGTGTACGCAGAATCCATGTCTTGTGTGTCCTCGGTGCCGAAAAATCGATTGACGGCGAATCGTCTATCGATTTTTCGGTATCAAGGATCTCCATCACGTGCGCCAGCGACACCTCGCAACGCGCCGGGCAGGGCGACTGTTGTTACTGGCGAAGGGACTTCGGAGGAAGAGGACGTTTTGTGGGGTCGTGCGCCAGTAAACGGCGAATTTTCGGTGGGAACGTGATACCGATACCGAACGTAATACCGAGTCCGTGATACCGAAAAATCGATTGACGGCGAATCGTCTATCGATATTTCGGTATCAAGGATCTCCATCACGTGCGCCAGCGACGCCTCGCAACGCGCCGGGCAGGGCGACTGTTGTTACTGGCGAAGGGACTTCGGAGGAAGAGGAAGTTTTGTGGGGTCGAGCGCCGGTAAACGGCGAATTTTCGGTGGGAAAACTCTTATTGTCGGGTTTTGGTAACGCAAAAATGGAGAAATCCTATTAACATGTAGTAAATTGCTTCCTCTAACATGTGGTGTACGCAGAATCCATGTCTTGTGGGCTCTTGATACAGAAAAATCGATTGACGGCGAATCGTCTATCGATTTTTCGGTATAAAGGATCTCTAGCACGTGCGCCAGCGACGCCTCGCAACGCGCCGAGCAGGGCGACTGTTGTTACTGGCGAAGGGACTTCGGAGGAAGAGGACGTTTTGTGGGACGGTAAACGGCGAATTTTCAGTAGAAAAACGTATTGACGGATTTGGTAACGAAAAAAGGAGAAACGAATAAAGGAGAAATCCTATTAATATGTAGTAAATTGCTTCCACTATCACGGGGTGCATGCAGAATCCATGTTTTGTGGGTCCGTGATACCGAAAAATCGATTGACGGCAAAACGTCTATCTGTTCGTCTGTAGACAACGCTAGCGCCTAAACCGTTCAGTCAATTTTCTCGAAATTGGATATTTCCCGGTCGATTTGAATGAATTTATTAATTGTTTTAAATGGATATTTAAATTTTAATTTTATATAAAGCTTCTAAATCATTACTTCAAAAATTTACTCAAAAATGGCTCCAATTTTTGTAATTCAACTTTGTCCTCGGATAGCGTTTACGTCGCTTGTGGTAGGGGCACCAGGAGAATGATATGCGGGTAGTGAAGCCGCACTAAAGAAAGTAGCAGACAGCGATAAATTAAAAGTTCTGTAGTGTTTTATAATAACACGATCACGGATAGAAAATTTGAAATATAAAGATGAACGGACACGGTATGAACCAAGTGCGGCACATTTAACGACACAGTAAAACTTGTTTTTCTCATAGTTCTTAAAATATTTGAAATGACTCTACTGATTTGCATATTCCAAACACATTACACATACATAACATATTCATTCTAAGGCTTCGATTAGGAAAGTATTTGATTACCGCACGTGACACGTCGGTCCGCACACTCACAAGTTGTCAGACGCGTTGCTGATCACTGGTTGCTATTATACGCGCACGGTTTCTTGAGCCCCGGAGTACTTACCCCATTCTTCATCATTGGTTGAATTAAGAATAAATGACAGCAATGACCGTTATAGACAAAAAATAATAACCTGAAATGTTCGCTACCGTGTTATAGAACGTATTTTGCTTTGAAAACTTACTATAAATTTGATACCAACTTCCTTTCGTCAAAATAACCAAACTCCCCACTCCTCTCGCAACTAACGATGCGAAGGCTCAAAAAAAAAAAAAAAAAAAAAAAAAAAAAAAAAAAAAAAAAAGAGCGCGGATAATACGCGTCCTCGCATCTCGCGACTGTCCGGCATGAAAGGAAAGTATTGCCTTGAGCTTCCATCCATTCCCTGTGACAATCTCGGGCATTTTTTCCTATAGATAACAGGTATTTTGGAGTATGAGCGCTGCGCCAAACTGGTTGCATTCATCTACCACGGTGACAGAGAACTGATTTTATATTTACCTCTGTGATAATAGAGAGACGGTGCTATCTGTTGTTCTGAACCCACATTAGTACACCATTTTGTTTCACGTGACATATACAATTGTGAAATCCAATAACATTTCGTTTAGAAAAAAAAATAGTTGCCATTACTTCTGCCCCAACCCTTGTATACTACGTAGGTGCATGAACTTTTGTTCTCGATTGACTGATAGATACATTAGTAATACCGGATAATAAGGTCATTAGTCCCGTACGTCTAGTGCATTTTTTATCGCGTAAGGTATCTGTAATCTTCCCCTGCTGGATGGCGAGATCCGGCGCCGACCTATTTGATGGCTTGTAGGGTTTCTCAACCAGGTATCCCCCATCAGAGGAGCACCGCCCCAGCCGGGACAAGCTTTAAGCTACCGTCTGGCCTCCTGAGATGAGTGGCTGTGTAATGCAGTGAGTGTTAAAATAAGTAAAGGGTCAGGATAAGACAAGGAAGAAGAAGGAAAGATCACGCGCTGTTCATGACCTGTTTGTTACGGTCCTGTTCCGGCATACGCCTGGTGTTGGTCGGAGAAATAACAGAAAACTATTGTTGAGAGCAACCGGCCCCGACAGCGACTGAATTCGACTCAGCTGACAAGATAGTGTCGAGAGCCTTGCCACAATCGATGCAGGAACCTAGGACCTCCCGGTCAGAGGCACTGTAGTGACATCAATTGATGCACGGAGCTACCTCGCTCGGTGCCATTTTTAAAAATATTTTGAAAATGTCCAAGAGCATTCATCAGGAGGACCTTCAAAATTCAAAGAAATATTTTCAAAATTGATTCATGGTCCCGTCTGGACTTTTATATATGGGATCCGGGCCATTCCGAAGAAGCCCTCTCGCCTAATCTCACCCAAAGGTCGTCGCGCCAGGGGCCCAAGTAGGTTACCGAACCTACCCGGCAATACGGAGCTTAGCATCGCCTACTCACTGCCTCCACCTTGAAGCTAACGGCGTGAATATCGTCGTGAAACTTAGGGTCCGAATGGTCATTTACAAATCACTATCAGAAACCACCGGGAGAGGTGGTTCAGGTTATCAACTGATGTCACTGCAGTGCCTCTCACTGGGAAGTGTTAGGGTCGAGTTCCGAAGCTGACATGATTTATCGACACCATCTTATCAGTCAGGTCGAGATCAGTCACAGTCTGGAGGGGAATCAGAGGACGGCTGCTTTGGTCGGTAGTTTTCCGATGAACGCCAGGCGAATGCCGGACCAGTACTCTTACAAACGGGCCACGGACCGCGCCCGATCTTTCCTTCCCCTTCATCTTCCTTTTCCTTTCGTCATCCCTTACTTACTTACACTAACATGAACTACCACAGCTGTCGGCAGACCAGTCGGGAGCGTAGAACTTGTCGCGACTGGGGCGGTGCTCCGCTTGTGGCAGATACTTGGACGGGGAAAACCCCGCTAGCCGACGGTACGTCGGTGTCGGATCTCGCCATTCAGCAGAAGAAGGTCACCGCCAACTCCCGAGTAAAAAAACATGCACTTAAAGAACTAATGACTCTGGTAGTTGGACGTACCCGGAATCACTAGTAGTCAATCAAACCACCGAAGATCGTGCCCATCTTCGCGGTGATGGTTCACGCTCTCCTGCTCACCTCGAAGGGGACGCCCGGCGAGAAGAAGCGCAGGCTGGCGAGCAGGCAGCGCGCCATGTGCTCCCACGTGGCGTCCGCGCGCGCCAGCGCCGGCGCGTGCAGCAGGCGGAGCGCGGCGCGCGTGCGGCGGCGCGTGGCGTCCAGCCCGGCGCCGCACACGTTGAAGCGCTCCTCCACGCCCAGCAGGTGGCCCAGGGCGCGCCACAGGTGCGCGAAGCCCTCCAGCTCGGCCTCCGACGCCCCGCCCGCGCCCACGCGCCCCGCGCACGTCACGTGCACGCCCACGAACGACAGCTGCGTCAGCGCCATCTCCAGCTGGCTCACCCGCCGCCCCTGCGACAGCGCGCTGCGAGATTGGCCCGTCGCGCCGTCACACTCGCCGACAATGCACGAATGAGTTAATTAAAGCTACCTTTCGACCCTTCCTCTAGACGTTCATGCATTTGAAAATTAAGTAATGATATTTGTACATTTTATGAAATACTATGTTAATTGATAGGCTTATTAAAGAGCTACTATTATCACTATGAAATTCATTGCTTATTATATTCACAATATAATCAATTATATTCTTCTTCTTCTCATTATTATTATTATTATTATTATTATTATTATTATTATTATTATTATTATTATATTACTATTATTATTATTATTACTTTTAATGTAGTGTTTGTATTGAAGTGTTGGGTTGTATTCTAAACCGTTGTACAATATTGAAGAAGATAAGTAAAGTGCAAGGTAGCTTTGTGAAATGGAGTGCAGTAGAGTTAATAAGTCACTTGTTTAATTGTTTGAAATATCTGCAGAGGATGTAAGCAAAAATAATAAAAATGTAATTATTTCTATCATTATTTTATCGTTAGCGCTATGGATATTATCGTAATAATAATTAATTGAATATAATAATTATTAATTAATAATAATATTATTTTAATAATTTGAAGTTACATAGCATTAATTTTCTTAATTGTGATATTTTTGAATTATAGTGTTCTGCAAATAGGCCGGATAAACCTACCTGCAAAAACAATATTTATCTATCTATTTAATTAAAAAATACGTATGAATTCGAAACGGATCTCTTACTTGTGGGGGGGAGGGCACATAGACGTTTAAATATTCGAAAATCTACAAATGAAGAAAATGGACTTTTTCTCGTAGGTGAAGAGACGTTGCAAGGAGGGAACTACAATAGTATTAGTTTTTCCACCAAAACGAAACGAAAGTTAAAACATTGAAATTCAAATTCAACTAATGTAAAACCGACTTCCAAATTTAAAAAAGAGAATAAGAAACTACTTCGAACATTCACTTAGTATTTTGATTCAGCAATAACCTAAGAAAAAAGTGCCAAATAATGTTCTCGGTCTTAATTTATAACATATAATAAACATTACGTTTTCTTGGTATGTGGAGTCACTTTCTTTCCTGTCATGGTCAGCGTCATGCTCTTAGATACGTCCGGGTCACGGACAGCGTCATAACCTTTGACAACTTTTCTGCCCTCCTAACCTTTCACGAGTCCGTCTCTTTGAAGACAGTCAGGATTACAGCGGTTATCTAGCGCACTACCGGGTGTTTTGCCTACTTGTGTTCGCGTAAATGAGCTTAATTCGCGTGTATTGAATTTAATTGAGCTGATGCCTTATTTTACGTGGCGAGACTCGGGCCATCAGGCCCGCTCTTCCGTCTGACCACGCCGCTTCACCAACTAGCGGAGAAAGGAGGTATTTCTTGGGCGACGAAACAGGCGGTTTGAATTTAGCTCAGAGGCTTCATTTAGGCTTGACGAGCATGCAAGTAACTTTACTAACATGGGACAGCCGGCTTTACTTCATCTCCGAAGGAAGGCCTACGAAGAATTTTTTCGCCCCACGGCGTCGATCGGGTTTGAACCCGCCAACTTGAGTATAGCAGTCCGATACACTAACCATCACACCATCGTTATTAAAGTAAAAAGAACCTTACCTCATCAAGCGGCGGAAGGATGGGTCGAGGTCGGCGCATTCGGACGAGAAGTCCTTCCTCAGGGCGTCGGCCACGCCCTCCGCCCACGGCGTCACCTGCAGCTGCGAGCGACGGGCGAGCTCTTCGCGCGGGGTGTCTCGGAGGTCGCGGCGAATTCTGTGGTGCATGCCGCGCACCACGTCCAGGTTGCGCCTCGCCTTGCTGCCCGCGTCCCACAGGTCGTCCGTGTACCACGTGTTCACGCGGAGCAGCGTGGACAGGTAGCGGCGAACCGCCTTGGTGGGCGAGGCCGTGCCGCCGGTGAAGACGAGCGGCTCCACGAAGCCGGGCAGCGTGAACAGGATGAGTTCCGACACGACGTTCGCGAAAACCACCCCGAAGTAGTACTTCATGGCGAATTGCTGGCCCAGGCGGATCTTCTCGTCGTCCACCCACGATGGCCTGCGGATGGGCCGATTGCGTAAACACTTGACAGCACCGAAATGCGTTTACAGGTCTGTCTCTATGTCTCACGCGGCTTTCTAAACTCTGAACAAAGTTGAAAACAGAGCTTTGCACCAAAAAATCGAAACTAGTTTCATAAAGTATTATACAAACAAACAATATAATTTTGAAGAACCTCTTATGTATTTTTTATATAGTTTGCTTCATTTTTAAAATGTTTAAATTTCAAAAGTATATTAATTAAATTAATTCAAGGGCTGCATTTAGTTTAGTTGTTAATAAATATTTCATTTATAATTATTGTGAAATTAATAATAATTACGAAATAAATGAATGATTACTACTGTTATGAAATCACGCGAACAATAAAAGCCTATTTGACCCTGCGATGTTGCAAGCTAAGGGTAGCTTTTCACGTTCATTTTACCCAACTTGTCGATCGTCACATTTGAAACGACTTTCGGGCAAAGGTAACTTCGGTGTTCAAGGATCTTACCTTGATAAGGAAGACAGATCAGAAAATGTATTGGTAAACAATTGCATATTCTCTGGTTTAAAGAGTATCTGAAGATATATTTTTTAACATTACATTGTTTTGAATTACAGATAAAATAATATTAAAATAATATTTTACTTACTTTAATAATTAAAATATTATTTATATAAATTAAAATAATATTTTATTAAATACATACTAACATGTAAATAAAAATATAATATTATTTTAATATTAATTTAATAATATCACTTATATATATATAATAATATAACATTATTAAATTAATATTAAAATAATGTTTAACGTGTCTTACATCGTGTTATTTCACTATTACTTACACACCTAGAGTGGAATGGTTTTTCGTTATTTGTTCTCTTACTTGCTGTCTGGCATTACGCCGCAATCACCAGGCTGCTTCCGGCCTTCCAAGACGAGCAAGCGGAGAAAGTCTGCCGTCTCGGGGTCCGTGTGATCGTTGAAGAACAGCAGATCCTTCTCGGAAAGAGCTGCGGGCTCATCGTTGATTTCGCTTCCTCCTTCCTCGATGACACTTTCAAGGAATGTCGAAGGGGGATCTTCACTTACAATAGCGTCACCTTGCTGCTCCATATTCGAAAATCTGTTTGGAAGGAACACTTTTATGAATGATCATTTATTACTTATCTGGAGAAAACAAGTTTGCAGTTTACGGGTTCAGTCTGCGAAGGTTTACATGTGCTGTTTAAGGAAAGGAAATTCCAATTTTCATTAACATGACATAGTTGTGCTTCATGTCATCCGACGAACAGGGAAACGTTTGTTGCACAGATAAAATTCGCGCAATAAAGTATTAATGTTTTATTACAAGCATTATTTGCATGTTGTGAAATTTTACAGAGTTTTCAAAGTTCGTTTTTGTGGAAAAGGTTTTCCCATAGTCAGTGTTTATTATTAACGAGAAATCAATGTTATGTTTTATCACGGTGTACATAAACTGTGAAGGATCATTTGTCCCATCAGAGAATGATCTGAGGTTAAGCTGAGACCGAGTAATATCTCTTTAAACCAGACCCTTTCATATATCATTTGGAAAACGAATATGTGTCGCATCTTAAACAAAAGGTGCTTTGTCTTTTATATTGAGAAACTTATTATATTGTACAAAATTGTCTTTAAATGATTGACGACATTTTATATTGTTAATATTTTTAATGCAGGAACATATTTTACTGTTTATTTCGTTCTTCGATGTTCAAGCTTTCAAATATTTTTGAACTGTTGTTATTTTCCATAACGTTTTAATTGTCAATTAATGTAGACTTTGCATTTAATTTAATTGATTGAACACCAAATTTAAAAAATGTGGGCAACGCACTATGGGGAGCTTAAGGACAAAACACTCATTCACAGATCACGCGTTTTCTCGGAACACAGATTCCATAAGAATTCTGCATTGAAATAAAACTTTGATTTCAGTATTTTACCTAAACACGTGTTTTACAAGTAACTCGTATCGAAAGAAAGAGTTAATATAAAGATAATATCTCAAGTATTTTTCTCTACGCTTACTTAGGCTTTTTAACGTAAAAAGCAACCAAAACAAACTTGGTATTCAAAACTTTAAAAATAATGGGATGAGTTTTATCTAAAATCAAAAATTATCAGTGCCTATATTATGTACAAAATGACAATTTAACAGTAAATTGAAACATACATGTATGTTCTACAACAAGGTTTGCTGATTATGTGAAGTTAAATATTCAAGTATAGAGATTCTCGTTAAAACGTAGGCTAATTCGAAAATACTACTAGATTGTGTGCATTTGTCCAACACATGTACATATATTACTATATAGGGCATTGTAAACTTTTCAAACGATTTTATAGGTTTCTATAAGAACTTATAGTTTTGTCTAAGAAAAATATATTTAGAATAAGAACTTACCTGATTTGGTCGCAGAACAAGCTTAGAGACTCCGGGGACTTTGGAGCTCCTCTGGTCACAGCAACGTCTTGTATCACAGTGCTCTTGATTCTGTATCTGGAACTTGTGTCTAGAATGTTTTTTCTTTCACTTGCATCCCAAGGCTAACTACTGTGTATGTAAAGCAACATGTATGTATAACTCATTATCCACACACACACACACACACACATTGCAAGAAACGTGATAAAAACTGATAACGAACCTGATAAACACTGCAATGCAGCAAGTGCCGCTGCAACGATAACTCGGGATCATTAGGTCGCTGATTTTTGCCCCAGAAGAAATGTGCTTATCATTGACTTAGGAATCGTCTAGTTATATTTATATTCAGGAATCGCATTGATCATTATTTTCAAGACAGAAGATGTTGCTTGGAATTGCTTTCCAAGTTTCCGTATTTTTCGACCTTATAATCACGATTCATGAACAAATGTATGTATGTATGTATGTATGTATGTACCGCGATTCGATATTTATTTCAGCCTCTGAAAATCTATTACGATGCGTTGTAATCTCTGAGATGAAGTATTATTTCCCATATGAGTGTTTTGTCATTGTAGTTGCTTTACACTAACATTTATTAATATGGTCCAACGTAATTTTTTTTTAAATTTTGAAATACAAAGCAATCAAATCTAAGGAATAATATTTAGTGATGATAATAATAATATAATAATATAATAATATAATAATATAATAATATAATAATATAATAATATAATAATATACTATTGATGATGATGAACCATAAACACTCATATCTTGGGATATGAATATGATCCAATGTCAAATAGCTGATATGTAAAAGAGCGCGGATGTTTCGATTGCTACTATTTCGATGAATTAAAATACAGTTTGAATTAAAATGCAGTTTGATTTAACCTATCTTTCTTTCCTCACAGTAGTGTAGTTGTTTAAAGAACTGTGCAGAATTAAGAAAATAATATTAATGGAAGTCATCGGTCTATGAAGAGATGTTGAATATCACTTCATATTAAAGGTTTTAGCTCACCATTTATTTTATTCTCTCAATAGGAACATCCACAATAGAATTGTTAAAATAGGTTTTAAGTGAGGGCATTACTATCAAATAATCACTTCTTTCATCCAAGAACAAAATGAATTGATTTGCCCCAGGGCAAGGAGAAAATGAATTCCAAAGAGGTGGGATAATTAAAAGGGCCTTCGCTTTTCCCCTTACAACGTCGAAAGTGCCATCACTAAAAATTGCTTGTACCATGTGCTTTCACGTTACACGCTATCTATAGATGATTCGATCTTAACGCACTCATTCTCGACTTGATGGACCGAAAAGTCCGAACAAGATGGACGATGACCGACACGATGTACCGAAAAGGAAAGACAACTCTTTGCGAGGACCACTGATGGACAGTAGAAGTATTCCCTTAGAGAACAACTCTCTTTCAGGGCTTTATTCGGAATGGAGAATTTATCATCATTAAGTTGCGGTTTTATATGACATAAAATATTGCCAAAATGATCAATAAATAAAATGTTGTAACAATGCCCTAGAAACAGAAAAATGACGTCATTTTTTATCAAAACCATTTCAGATGAACAACTTAAGCTGTTGGATATGTTGTTGATGAAAGCGAGGCTTCTTGCTTTCGTCCAAGTGAACTCAAATAGCGAACTTTGGGGTTGGACTGTTCTTTAACAGAAAATGCATGCCTTTATTTATCGCGAAATCGACCGAACTGACAATGGTGTCGATAATCGTTACAGGAGCTTTAGATTAAATAGTACTTACAACGGCCAACGACATCACAGTATATGGGCGAAGAAATCGTATAGACTACTCCGAAATTCTGTGGTGAACATTTGTTACACCTCGTAAACAATCGACGAAATCAGAGAAAAATGCATTAAAAATGAAGTAAAAAGGACTTATAAAAATTATAATTTTGGATACTTTCGTTTTGCCATACCGTAAAATGAATTTCTATACTAAACAGTATTTTTTTCAAGTGAAAAATAATATATTTCATTAATAATTCTCCTCCTAATCATCATTATAATGTGCAGCATGGATTAGGTATTTTGGACTGTTATGTCTCGCAAATTTCGTTTAGTCATTTCACTTCAATCCGGGACGTCCTTCATTTCTTCTGTGTTGAGGTTTGCAAATAAAACTTAGCAGCGGTTTACGTCCATTTTCTGTAGATTTATTAGTTAATGTGTTTTTTAATTAATGTCTGACAGATCATTTGATTGTTTAATTTTCTTCAATTTTTTTCTTGTATATTCACATTCGCTTAACAACACTTCACTGCACTGGACTGTACACTATTTACACCCAAGTTTTCGACCTCACTAAATATGAATATGTTATCAAAAATGAAATATTCAAAACGGATGACATTTGGAAAAACGTGAAAGAATGCAACAAAAATGAGTGTACTGAGCTTTTCAAGCTTACAGATTTCAAATGTGACGTAAAAATGAAAAATTGGAAATGATGAATTTAATATGGAGGATGTCTTTCAAAAAACGTGAAAGAATGCAAAAAATTAGTAAATTTGAATTTTTGGTTACGAATTTGATACATTGAACAAATAATATTTTACACAGCCATTAGTAGAAGCAGTTACTTTTAGTTGCATGGCATGTTAGAAGTGAGATGATGCTCAAATGTTCAGATGAAAACAAAATACGTTTGTGTCATGGCGTACAACTGTTCTTGATCCTAGATTACAAAGACGTCTTCGACGCAACTAAGGCCGCCAGCTTACCCCATCCCCTTCGCCTCACTTCTTATTTCTCAAACTCTTTGTAGCTTCATTGTGACCTGCCGGTGAAATACACATATCGGTGTGACCCTCCCTGTTTTGTGGTGTGCGCAATTTTAACACGCGTCTTCCAATAGACTACGCCTTTGTAGTTACGTCAGAGATATTTTTAGTGCCTTATTTGCTAATATAATAAATAATAAAAATAAAATCCTTGTTTTGTAGCAGTTTTAAGTTTTGTTCTGAACATTTAGCAATCATAATGGGACAATGGCGATCGTAACAAATATCGCTTAACGAGGTACTTCTCTGAACCCTTCCCAAAAGCCATCTGTGCACAGCACCAAGCAAGTGCATGTTGTGATAGTAAAGACACTTAGATATATCTATAAAACCCTTCAAATGTATTTTATAACTTATTATCACACATGTTCAATCCATTAAATTTAATGGTCCATTGTAAAAACGAGTATTTTCTTTTTTCCCAAAGTAATCTTAGACTACGCCTTTGTAATAACGCAGGGTGCAGGTGCCTAGGTACAGGTTGCCTTTGTAATCTAGGTTTAATGTAACATGGTATCCAATTAGTGACATTTGCAGTAAAATAAAGTGAAAGTCAGTAATGCTGATTTAAAAATATTTTATGACATTCGTTGTAAAAGTGATTTTCTTTTGCTCGTAGGATTGCGCTACTACGTCTGTCGGCATCGTGCCCTACCATTTCCACTCGTTAAGGAAAATGTCACTTTTACCACTTGTATCATTAATAACTATTTTACATGGCCATTAGTAAGTTACTATTTTTAATGTTCAAATTATCTTTAAATGTATCAAAGAAAACAAAATGCCTTCGTCTTACTGATTCATAAGATTACCATGGGTTGCTATGGCTTTTTGCTACAGGATTGTCTACGGTATATGTTGAAAGAGAAAGTTGTATTTCCTCAATTTTTTTAGTATGTTGTCCTGTATATGCTATTAATATCTATTTATACATTATTTTTATGGACAAGAGAATGGACGTACCTTACACTTTTAAATAAGTTTAATAAAATTAGAAAAAACAGGATTTTACATCTATCGCTATAAACATGACTGATTATCGAATTCGTGTTTATTCGCACGATTTTATAGAATTATCGTGAAATAAATATTATAAATACGAGTATCATCAAGGAATTTGAATGAACGCGCAAATATCTTTCCGACATTTGATTCTCTGGAAGTGATCTGTTGATACGAGAAACTTGAAATACGAGACGCTATTATTTATTTTCCAAAACTAAACGATCGTATGATATGTCATTTTTCAAATGTTCTAATAGATTCTCTCCCCTTGCATGAGTGTACTTCATTTTTAGAAGTTAAGAACCTTTTGATACTGACAGGCTACATAGTCAATTCACTTTTCATTCAAATGTTTGTCTCCTCAAATTATCTCTTTAAAAAGAGACAAACATTTTACATTTATAAAACCGCTTGTCTGCTTACCCCTATGTCGTATTAAAAATTATTTTCATCTCCATTCTTCTTAAAGGATCTCCTCTCGTCTTCTGGTTTCTCTTTCTTACAAGGGTTTCACAAAAACTGCATTCTTAATCAAATCGCAGGGTTCCCTAGATCTCAG